GCCACATCCAGGCTTTTTTAAACACATCTAGTCATGGTGACTCCACCACCTCCCTGAGCAGGTCATTCCAGTACTTTATCACTCTTTCTGTGAAAAACTTTTTCCTGATATCCAAAAAAAGCGTAAGGATCATGAAAGCAATAAGCGCGCATAAATTCGTTACATTGAAAGCATTTTGACACTTCAGCCATCCAACCCAGCCGCTCGTGAGCTGAGACCGAGTGTGGGCGAGCTCCTCACCGACAAAGAGCAGGGTGAAGATGAGGGTGAGCTGGTAGACGGCGTGGCCCAGGATGTTTTTCATCATGGTGCGGGAGATGAGCGGCTTGTTGCGGCCGTAGGGTTTGCGCAGCAGCAGCGCCTCGGTCGGCGGCTCCGTGGCCAGCGCCAGCGAGGCAAATGTGTCCATGATCAGGTTCACCCACAGCATCTGCACGGCCTTCAGGGGAGAGTCCTGAGGGGAAAAATCAAAAGTGTTTGTATTTCCCAGGAAAAGCCTGGCTGGGGGTTCATTTTTCTCATGGGGCTCAGAAATCCCTGCACTGAGGAACATTCTTCCATTCCTTCTGCAGGACCAGGAGCACAATGACCCGAGCAGAAATTATCTCCCTGCAGGCACTTCATCAGCACCATTTGCAACTACAAAACTCGTACCAAGCATGACAGTAACTCCTTCTAACACCTATTGCAATGCTCTCTTTTCCTTCGTGCATTGTGCTTGAATTTTCAGCTGAAATTAGATATAACTAGAGAATCCAAGTTTTTCTCATGGAAGAATCATTATATTATTGAAACAGATTAAAAAGCAACATTTCCTTTATACTAAAATCTACCTGTCTTTTTTTTTTTTTCAGAGACAGCTTGAAATTATTAACAATTTGTGGAACAATTACGGTGACATCGTGATACATTACACTTAAATAAGAGCATTAAAAGTAGTGACATAATAAAAAAAAAAAGCCTGATATTTTGATTTAAAAAAAATCTGAAACTTATTAAACTATATCAAATGTGCAAAAGCAAGACAACCTATTCTTTTTTTACTAAAAGGAAAGCCTATTTGGCACTATAGAAATGGAATGAAAAACCCCAAATACTGGTATTTGATGCAGGCTGTCGTTTTGGAAGCAGATTCCAGTCACTAGAAGGAGCTCTTTCCTCACACAATCCCATAAAGTCGGTGGTCATAATACAGAGGACTCTAGGTCATGTTTAAAAACCCCAAAATTAACTAAATAAAGCAAAATTACACAGATCTCAGGAGAATGCTGGACAATCCTTAATGAAGTTTTGATGTGTAACTCTCTGAGGCAGCTGTGAGGAGAGAGAAATGTTTCAAGGAGCCAGAGGAGGAAAAACAAAAAAAACCAAACTCCTGTGCCTTTAGACTGTATAAAACAGGCAGCATTAGCAAGGTCTGCTTCCTGTTCCAAACTGACCATTTTTATGAGGGAAAAAAGAATCACCCAAGTAATAAAGCATCAACATGACAAATTTCATCATGAAATTGAGTTACTCTGCTGTGTGAAAGCTGGGAGAGGCAGCACTATTTTTATGTATTTCATTACCATGGTGCTGCAGCAATGAAACCAAAACAATGTAGAGGACAGGATACAAACAAGACCAAAGCCAACAAAACTCCCTGAGAACTCTGCCCATTTCTTCAAAGGGTTAAATGTTCATTTTTAATGAAATACCATAAAAGAACATGCATTCAGTATCCCAAGGACTGATAGAAAACAAGAGTAAGTGCTTTGGTCTCTTGAGCATCTGGTTTAGATTCCAACTCTCCCTTGAGATAAAATATTATTTGCCCTTAAAAACACATTTTTAACACATTTACACAGATTTTGATGCATTTGATTTATTTAAAAAAATAAATTTGGGCTTATTCAAAGGGATGGACAAAAGCAATCTCCCGTTTCTCAGTCTTACAAGTTGGGCTCATCACAGCAAAGAGGACAATTAGCATTAATTGATTCTTGATCTCTTGGTTATGGGTTGCATTAACTGAGCTTATCTGAAGAGCTCAGCTCACTCATTTGAAATGCAGTTGCAGAAACAGAAAATGTCTTTGTCTTTAGAGATGGCTAAAAAACTAAAGGTGATCAGGACAAACTTCATCCCAAATTGAGGCTTCATTCATTTTTATTAACACTAATGGCTCCAACAAAGAGAGCACTTGCAGTAAAAAGCAGTTTGTGGCTGGGGCTCACAGACCCTCGAAGGGACACAGGTAAAAAGGAAAAACATATTTTCTGCTGAAGAATTTTCCTTATCATGTTTTTGCCTGTCTCATTAATAAGTTTGAGCAAGCTCCTCTGCTTTGATCTGTTACAAAAACTCAATTTCCACTTCACACACTGAATTCTCTGTCAATAAAACCAAATTTCCCCGTTAGATTTAATAGATGGAGTCAGAGATTCAGGTGTCTATCAGAGCCTGCCATATTCCCAGAAGAACAGGAAAAGCAGGGTATTTCAATCTCTAAATCACACAACTGTAATTGGCAGTCATCAGTTTTGGCAACAACATGTTCTCACCATTTCACACTGCCAATCACCTTGGGTGGCTGTGGTGCCCCTAAAAATTATCTATTATTGGCAGTGCTACACTGCTCAGTGGAGTGTGAGAGCTCATTCCAGGCTGAAGCCAAAACATTAAATACACATTAGTCTGGGCAGGCAGTGGAATGAAATTTCCACTGTAACTCTATCTGATTTCTGATTAGTTGGTGGAAACTGAGGGAAATACATATCAGCTAAGGAGCTTAGGCTTCCACTGCAGATTTTAGTCACTTATGCCAGTGGGATGCAAATCAACCTTCTTTTCTTTGTGTTTTAGCCGCTAACTGACCGGCCAATAATTCTTCATTCCCTCTCTGAAAACTTTGGGGATGTGAACCACCCAAAATCACCACTTATTCATCAAATTCCTTTCACTTGACCTTGGAATAGGTTAGCCTTGGCCTAGAGGTAAAAGGAAAATGTCCCTTAAATCAAGTGATGTTACACTTCATCTTGGAAACACTTAAAAGTACAAATTGCCAAAGGCTGGAAATAAACTACAAATCTTTTGTGACATGCAGAGCCTCACAAATTTTAGAGCTTGTTACTTTTGATTTAGATGACAAGCTGCAAGGGAACAAAAAGGTATTTTCACCCTTACCTTTTTACTCCTGTTTGCCACAGAACACATGCAGGTATTCAGAAAAATGAGCATTTCTGGGAGTTACCTTTCTATACATTAATGTAAAAAAAGTCCCTGTGCAGCAAGATCACACTGTCTGCTAATTGTATGGAAGTGGCATCCTCAATTCCATCCCCATGCCTTGCCAAAACAAAGCTAAACAGTACAGACTTTGATTTTATATTACAGCTTTTTCAAGTTTGCCTGTGCTATTATTTTAGAATTTGCCAAGTACAGTTCTGCAGTAAAACATTATAACCACATAAATTACTCCCTTTTACATGTAAGTATAGATCATCCTCATTTTTTTGAACAAGATCTGTAAAAACAATCAGTGATTCATGCAGCAGTTCATTGCTACAGTGCCTTTTAATTAACATTTAATTTTCCAAACATAATGTCCTATGGAGTCACTGTTTTCAGCTCCTAATGTCTGCTAAAACACCAAGTCTCTCTCAAAGTGCAAGAATAATAATTTGAATGTAAAATGTTCAAACACAGCCTTTGTCTTCCCTTTTTTCAGTGCAAGCCTTTTGAAGAGTTACAATTGCCTCAACAGTTGGAGCCACAGACTGAACCTGGCACGGAGAGAAACCCTCTTGTTTCATGGCTCCAGTAAAAAAAAATGTTTCCATTTGACTGAGCTGCATTTTAAAATCTTCATTTTGTTCATAGCCAGATCACTGTGGACAGCTCCAAATGTAATGAGCTGATGTCCTCTGGGTGCTGTGTGGCTTTTGGGGACAGGGAGAGGCGTGAACCCATCCAGGGCCCTACAGGACACCCAGAGATGTGGAGCAGTGACTCACTGCAAGCACAAAACTCACAAGAATCGTAGGCAGAGCTCCAAAGAACCACCCTCACTGCATCAATCAGGGGCTCTGCAAAACTGTTATTCAGAGAATGAAGTCAGAATATAAAAGTTTGTAGCTCATAAATCCGCTGGAAAAACAAACGATGGGTTTAAGCTGAGGCAGCGGCTGCAGAAGAGAAAGAACAATTCTGCACAAATTGGTCAAGACCACCACACCCTGACCACACTAAAAGTGGGCAGTGGGCACCACAGGGAAGGCAGCAAGAGGGAACTGAGTTGGATTAATTAAAAATAAGGTGAATGAGCCCAGCTCAGCTGCACTGAGCCACACAAACCTCTCTGGGAGTAAGCCGAGGTGTGAACTCCTCTGGGGTCTGTGCACACACACAGACAGAGCTAAACCCACCCCTGCACCCCAGACTGAGGCTCCTGAGTCACCTTCCCACCAGGGACTTCTCCAAGCTCTGCTTTCCTGGGTGACCCACATCTCAGAGCCCCTTACATAATTACAGCCTCACAACACAGAAGTTCATTATTAGCTCAAAATTCAGATCTTGTGGCTTACAGATTGAGCTGCTGTAAACTGAAACAGGGCCCCGTGTAAGTGAGATCTCTTGGAGGGGTGGTTGTGGCAGCAGCTGTGCTAGGCTTGTCAGCAGGTGACACTGGATCTGTAATTCTTATGCTGCTCAGAATATGGTTGCTGTCACCTTAACATGACTTCATGCTGGGAGCCACGGGAGACAAGAGAAACAACCATTTGCATTGGTCCTGTGCATAATGAATTCTTTGACAGCCCACTGTTTGTCCTGCATAAGCTTTATCTGGCGCTGGAGCAGTACAGAGACATTTTGTACACATCACTATCCACTGGAACAGCAAACCAGAATGAAAGAGAAATCACAGATAAGGCAGATATTCTCTAACAGCAGCATCTTCTTGAAGCAGGCATTGGGTAGATGAAACATAAAATTATATTTGCTTAAAATTAACAGAATTGAACTAAACAGCAGTTCCCTGAAGTGGCGTTGGCAAGGACCTTCATTTCATTAATCTACTTGAGGAAAAAAGCAGCAGATTATTAAAATGGCCACTAATGGTCCCAGGTTCTGCCTAATGTTTTTCTTAAGCCTCCCAAGGTGCCCTGGACCAAACAAATCATCTCCTGCGTGGGCAATGCACTCTCTGGGTGCCCCTTGGAGGGCTGGCTGCACTCCCACCACACTCACACAGCCATTAATTAATTCCTTAATGCAGAATTGCAGGGCTTTCACTTGGAGTTCTGCAGGGAGATGACCACATCCTCATATTCACATCTCCATCAGAGCAAGTGCAGGATCAAGACTGAATAAAATTAAGCCCATTATGCTGCAAAGCACAAGTCAAGTATTAAAAAAAGATTATTCCACGCAAAGATTTTATTATCTTTGTACTTCCTTTAGGCACAAACCAAAAAGAGTAGGTGAGTGTGCTGGTCCCAAACTGCAGAACAGATTATTTGAGAGGTGGCATGAGGAAAAATAGAACAAATGTTATTACCTGCACAGAATTTTTCTCATTCTAGATATGAAATGTCACCAAAAGAACAGCCTGTGTAATGTTCATTAACCTGAATCTCAATGATGGACTGAAATTATATTCTGTGTGTCAGAGAAAGACATACTGACCACCTAAATCAAAGGAAAACTCAGTCCAGTGAAGATTTTCTTTGTGTTCGTTTTGAAGGTCACAGGAAGTTGCGCTGCCTTTTGGAAAAGACAGATTTAAGCTCTGTTTGTTTGCTTGCTTTTTTGTTAAGGACTGAAACAAATTCACTCAAAATCTTTCATTCAGACCTGTGCACAGTTCTGCAGATTTGGATATACATGTGTGTAACTAGACTGTTGTAGCAGGATTTTTTTGGGAGAGTCCTGCACTTTGTGCTGGATCTATTTTCATAGCAACCAGAGGGTACAGCATGTTCCCAAGTGCAATTTTTAGCAAAGCTTTCAAGCCAAACAGAATGTCCTTTGGCTGGCTGGAGTCAAAGCCTAACACAATAATGTGCATTTGTGAGGCAAAATCCGTCTTGAATGAGGCAGAACCGGGAGCAGCTCGAGATTATTCACACTGAGTGTAAACAGTGGCAAAGGACAGACCTGCTGCCTTTCTGCTTCCGTTTCCACCTCAGCTTCCCCCACACCTTTCCTTTGGGTTTGCACCTTTACTGCCAAATCAAGGAATTGCACAAGAATCTGCAAAGCAACCCAGGAGTTCCAGGTGTCCACTAAAAGCTGTGAGCAGGGACAACAGGCCCAGGGATGGCCTCACAGACCTTGGGGGCAAGAGAAATGCACTGGGCCTGATACAAATCCTTCTAGAAGCCAAAGGAATGATTCAAAGGATGAAAAAAGCTCCAGAATTAGAAAGGGGGTTATGCTTGTACTGATCATGCACTTCACATCCACTTAACTTGATTTAAAATAGTCTTTGCACTGATCCAGCAATGTTTAACCTCCTCAGGGACAAAAAACTATTTGGTTAACAAATAGAATGAGTTTGCCTTTGTGCTTCCACAAAAAATTGAAGAATTGCTGAGCGTTGATCAAGAAATTTCACCTTAAACAGATGTTTCTAGTCAGACACTGATTGTCAATAAAATCAGTTCCAGCGATGGTGCTGCTGTCAGCACCTTGCTCTGGCTGGATTTGTACCACATGTATAAACCTCCCAGAGTTTCAGTCCTCATTCCTGTGTTAGCAGCCACAATCATTTCACAGCTGGGCATCCTCAATATGCTGGGAAATATTTTCAAAGGGAAATTCATCCAACTTTGCTGCAACACCATGAGTTTTGTCCCTCAGCACAGGCTCAGCGGTGACAAGAAGGGACCTCCAAGGCCTCTGAATGTCAGCCAGGGCACAGGAGAAGTTTGACCTCATGGGTTTGTTAAGGTACCTGGGTTTCTGGTTGCAAGGATCAATTCCATGATTCCAATGTAAGTTTAGCCTGGAGCAGAGCTGATGACTTATTCATTGCTTTGCTCAGGTGTGCCTGGGCTGAAATGTACCTGCTGAAACAGGTATGGGCATCTGGGTGATGCACCATGAGGGAAGCATCAGCTTTCTCACAGCGCATCCCAATCCAGGCAGGCACTTTGTGACAGCACCTGTCTGCAGCATCTAAAATATACATTATTTTAGGGACTGACAGCACTAAAAACCACATTTTGTTATTTTCTCATTAAAACAAAGACCATACACTGTACTGCATATATCCTGTTTACTCTCTAGAGAGAAAAAAGCATTTTTTTCCTTTTGCCCGAAAAATTATAATTTGAGAAAAAAAAATGTTTTCTTTGAGATATGCTTCTTGCAAATGACCTGGATATGTTGCATCTGCACCAGGATTGCAATGAAGGATCAATGGACTGCCAGAAAGAAAGGTCTAAGTCCAACTCCGTGTGTCATTTAATTGGTTTGTCATCTGCATCTGGAATTAAAAATAACTGTCTGAAAGCAACAAAATAATTTTATCAGTCAAAAAGATTGGGGCTACTTCAGTGGGTCAGCACTGCTCTCTTGAAAATAACGTCATTCCACAATGCATTAGAAAATATGTATTTGTTGGTGAGGTATTCTGAGAGGAAAACATTCACATAACCTGCTCCTTTCCCAACCCATGGTGTTTTCAGTTTGACCATCACAGGCTCAGGGACGACAACATTGAGGGAGGCACAAAAGCTCCTAAAAGTGAGTTCCTTTGGAAAAAAAGAGGGATTAATCCAGCCTGATGTCAGCAGCTCTTTAAGCCTTAGCAGCCTAATCCTTGGAATGCTCAGGAGAATTTCCAAAGGTTTTGATGCCACAACAATTTATTGTCTTTTCTTTTTATACCTTTTATGTATTCTCAGTGCCCTTAGCATGCATACTTGTAATTCCTCAAGTCTGATAACTTAGCATAGTCCTGATATTCTATTAAGCCAGAAAGCCAAACATCCTAAAGGCGTCACAGATAGAGGCCAGAAAGCCCTAAGCCCCCTTGAAAAACCAAGGTCTCCTCTCAAATACGTCCTGTAAACTAAGATTAAACTCATTCAGGGAAAAATACTTCAAGATAAAAAGATACCACACTATTTATTCAAACATCTCATCTCTTTGTTAGATATGCTAATTTACGAGGTCTATAAAATTGCACACACAATCTATCGTGTGCACCCATTTCAGTGTCCTCCACCATGATGAGGTGTTACACCACAAAAATCCTTATTAAATACCAAGGTAAAAACCCTTTAACCCTTAACCACGCCTAGTTCTTCATTTTAGGACCAAGGAAAAGGCATCCTCATAGTACCTGTAATTCCTCCAGTCTGATAACTTAGCATAGTCCTGGTATTATATTAGGCCAGAAAGCCAAACATCCTAAAGGCATCACAGATAGAGGCCAGAAAGCCCTAAGCCCCCTTGAGAAACCAAGGTCTCCTCTCAAATACATCCTGTAAACTAAGATTAAACTCCTTCAGGGAAAAATACTTCAAGATAAAAAGATACCGCACTATTTATTCAAACATCTCATCTCTTTGTTAGATATGCTAATTTGCGAGGTCTGTAAAATTGTACTCACGATCTATTGTGTGTACGCATTTCAGGGTCCTCCACCATGATGAGGTGTTACACCACAAAAATCCTTATTAAATACCAAGGTAAAAACCCTTTAACCCTTAACCATGCCTAGTTCTTCATTTTAGGACCAAGGAAAAGGCATCCTCATAGTGCCTGTAATTCCTCCAGTCTGATAACTTAGCATAGTCCTGGTATTCTATTAGGCCAGAAACCCAAACATCCTAAAGGCCTCACAGATAGAGGCCAGAAAGCCCTACGCTATCTTGAGAAACCAAGGTCTCCTCTCAAATACATCCTGTAAACTAAGATTAAACTCCTTCAGGGAAAAATACTTCAAGATAAAAAGATATCACACTATTCATTCAAACATCTCATTAGGGCATTTTTGTTATATATACAAGGTGTATCAAATCGCACATGTGCGTACGCATTTCAGCATGCTCCACCTTAGTGAAGTGTTACATCACAAAAATCCTTACTAAATACCAAGGTAAAACCCCTTTAACCCTTAACCATGCCTAGCTCTTCATTTTAGGACCAAGGAAAAGGCATCAAGTGCTGTGTGGCCAAGCAGGAATCAAATGCAAGGCCTCATCCACTGGGAGCACGGATCGCGGTGGGATTGCGGCAGGATCTCAGCAGGATTTCAGCAAGATTTCAGCAGGATCCCAGCAGGAATTGCTCACCTGGGTGATGCAGGCTCCAGTGAAGGCCACAATGACGGCCACGATGTTGACGGTGAGCTGGAACTGCAGGAACTTGGAGATGCTGTCGTAGACGTTGCGGCCCCACATGACGGCCTTGACGATGCTGCTGAAGTTGTCGTCCGTCAGGATGATGTCCGAGGCCTCCTTGGCCACGTCCGTGCCCGCGATGCCCTGGGGAGAGGGGTTGGGAATGAGATTCCCTGCTGGACAGCACAAATCTCCATAGTCAAAGCCCACAGTTTTTTATATTTCCTGGAATTCGCTAATTCGGCCTGGTTTTGATGTGAGTTAGGCCGCAGAAAAGGGAATTGAGAGAGAGCAGAGAATTCATATGGTGATGGCTCTGAGTGTTGTATCAGCTTAAAGACTGCTGATCATCTGAGCTATTTTGTCATTGATGATGGTTTTTTATTATCCATGAACAGAATTGGTAAAAAAATGAGAATTATGTGTCTTTATATATAGTCGGAGTACACATGGAAGACACCTTTCCAATTATAGTGGATTTTACCACAGCAAAAGAGAACACCAGTGTTGTGAAGAAAAAGTTCATTTTTCTGTATGGGCACAGGATTCTGCATAAAGCCAATAATTTATTAGACAAAACCCTGAAGTATCAAAACAAGCAATGCCAGTGAATCCAAGTGAATTAAAGGATTCTGAGTCAACATAACTCGTTCCCACCAATATATTCCTTCACTGACAAGTAATAACTAAGCAACTTCACATTCAATGAATGGAAAAGCCCTTACAGCAAATTCATAATGGCACAAACATCAAGATTATACCATTGCAAAGCCAACATCAGCTTTTTTAAGTGCTGGTCCATCGTTGGTTCCATCCCCAGTCACAGCTACCACCTGCCTCTGTTCCACCTGTGTGCTGTCAATAATACCTGCAAAAAATGTATGTATGGGCGTGTGTTTACAGACATTTATGGGCAATAATTAGCAAGATAAAACATCCCTGTAAAAAAGCAGGGTCTGTATAATACAGATTGGATAACACCACACAGTTTTACAGAGATTAAAAAGGCAGATCTTTAAGGAAAATAATGATAAAAGCTTTGGCATCACCACCATCCACTACTGAACATCACCATTAGGATTTACATGGAAAGTTCTGATCTGCACCATCAACACATCAACAAAACCTGCTCAGGCTTCAAAGGTAATGAGAGCAGCTCATTATGTCCTTCTGGCAGATTCCTGCTATTTAAAGTTTTGTGTCACAGCCCAGCACTGATCAAACATCGATGGAAAGGATTTGCCAAAACCTTAAATTCATGTTTAGGGCTCTCCTAAACTGGCACCCAGCTGTAATATCAGCTTTACTAAGAGGCCTTCTTAACCTAGAGATAACAAAAGCCATTGATGAATTTTATGTAGCTGGAGAATTTTAGCAGCCATGTTCAATTTTGCCAAACAATTATTAAGGAAATACAAACTAATTCTTTAAATTGTGGAACCAAGCATTTTAATAAATAGATAGAGTAAAATAATTTTTACTTTCCTTTTGAGATTATTTGAGAGAAATAAAAACCACTTTTCACTTGGTGAATCAATTTTTTCACACAACAAGGCTGCAGGGAATTATTTTCCACTTATGCAGATAATGAAAGTCAGGAAAATAATGAAGAATTTTTCAGAGGCTACAGAAGCAGCCCAGATTTTTATAGGATGAAGATCATTCACGATTCATGCTTCTATTTCCATGTCAGGGTCCATTTGAGCACAAGTCCAGAACACAAGATTGTTGTGTAGGATACAAGAACACCTTTCCATATTGATAACTCAGGGGAGGAAAATCACAGAATTCCTTTTGCTAACATATTTTGCACAAAGTCATTACCTTCAAAAACAATTATCCAAACCTACCCAGTGTGAAAAGCTTTCACTCTGTTCTGAAAAAAAAAAATCCCTTCCATATCAGATAACCAAGGAGAAATAGGAAATTGCAGATTACAGAGCAATAGCTGCCTCTTGGCAAGGTTCAGGCTTATCAGGCACCAGAAGATTGCAGTGCCCTGTGCAAGCAGTTAGTGCCCTGTATTTTTCAGAGTTATGAAAATGAGAAATAAAAAAGCCCTATTCACTTTCCACTGGTAGTATGATCTCAGAAAAATGGCAATTACTCTGATAAGATCTCACAATTAGAGCTTTAAGTTTGTTGGGGTGATTTGCCTTTGGTATTACTAAATAAACAGGAACATCATCTGTCACTACTGTTAAAAGCATTTACTTTGTCTTGTTATTAACACATCCTTTGATGTTAAATTAATAGTTTAAGCTTCCGAAAAAAAAAAGTCATTAAAATCTCTGGCTCATTAAGGTATTAACTGCTCCAAAGAGGTCGATAGTATCTGCTCACAACTGGGCTCCAAGTGGGAGCACAACCCAAATCAAGTTGAAGAGGCTCAAACAAATGATCTCCTAATAGAGATAAATGGATATAAATAGTGACTGTGCCGATGACTGTGCCACCAACTGCCCTCCATCAGCCAACTCCTGGGTGCTGCCAACTCATTCAGAAGGTTTAGGAGACATTTTTATCCCAAAATCCAAACTGTGCAGCCAGGATGAGCCCAGAGCACAGAGCTGAATGCAGCCATGGAAAACCAGATGTGAAAAGGTCTCAGGTGCCATCAGCACCTGAGCCCCAGACCTTTCCCACAGTGCCCACAGGAAAGATGTGGAATTCTGGGCATGGATTTCAGTGCTACCCATGGAGGAGAGAAGGACTTTGCAAAACACCCATCTGTACATCAGACAAATTTCTAAAATGGAGCAGCCACGATTATTTGGGATTCAGAGGATTTATCACAGCTCTGCCAACACTCTCTGACTTCTGCCTGCTCTTTTTAATCTCTTCCTCCTCCCATTGCTGAATGTTTGCCTTCTTCCCAGCATGTGCCTCCCTCCAAACACATTAAGGTTTGTTTTTAATATTCTGTCAATGGCTGTGATAAGGTTTCACCTGAAGAATTCTCTTCAGTACTGAGAAATGTGCACGGATTAAATTCACAGTGTGAGGAGACCAAAGGGAAGAAGGATGCCCAGGAAGGGCTCTCCCTCTGAGCTGTGGGGATTAATCTCTGATGTGATCAGGGAAAAATGTGACTGAGGGCATGAGCTGACAGGCTGCCAGTAAAAAGAACATTCCCTGGCCTTTGCACTCACTCCAAGTGGCTGAAAAGAAGCTCCAGTAATAATCAATCATGTCTAACAACCAGGAAATTTTTTCCAACTATACAGCTTTACTCCAGCTGAATGCTTACATACAGGATTTTAATAAAAGCAGGTTTTCACAGGGAATTCTTCTACTCTCAGCAAAGCTTCCTGCCAAAACAGCCTTTGCTCTTTCACTGGCCTCTTCCCTCTGTTGAGCTGTTTGGCCATGACTTTCTCCTGTCACAAAGAATTTCATTCAACAGCCCCAGGAGCACACCTCGAGCAGAACATGACAGTGTGCTCCACACAGGGATCCCGCTGATGTGGCAGGAATTTGGGCAGGAAATTTGGACAGGAATTTGTCCTGTGGCTTGCATAAGACACAAGTTTCTCAGAGCAAGCAGCTTGTGTCAGATGAGGGCAAAGATCAGATTTAAAACAATCATGCAGAGCTGTCAAGAAGGGCTCTAAATGCCTAAGCCTGCCGTAAAAAGCACAAAATACAAGATACAAAACTGAAATTTATCCTACATCTCTCACCTTCCTCCCATATAACACTAAGCAAGCATTAAATCAAATCCACTCAGGATAATAACTCAGGGAATATCAAAGAACAATGTATCTTCTGCACCCATGGCTCAGCTCAGACCCATCACAGACAGGTTATCCGTTTGTCACAGGACAAGTGCTGCTCTGTTTAACCAATCCTTGCTCATCACCCTCAGTTACATCAGTAAGAAACTCCTGGGAGAAAAAAAAAAATCCTGGTTTAGAGATTTCTTTCTGTCTCAACTGCTTAAAACAGGCAGGAAAATTCAGCTGCAGCTGAGGATTTCAGAGCTGAAGCCCAGTTCAGGGTTAGAGAGGCAGGAAAGCTGATCCTCCCTCAGGATCACACAGATTTGTGTTTCTTTGACAAGCTAAACAGAGGTACAGCCATGTATTTTCATAAACACGTCCTCTTCAGGTTAGTTTTTAATATTTCCAGACTTCTGGAAGCTCCCTGTTAACGTAAGAATTTGCAAAGTCTGTCTGAAGGAGAAAGCTGAAATTTATTTCAGTTACATGCTTGGGTACCTGCCTGGATAGAAGTTTAAAGGTTTTTTATATAAAAATGTTCTATATGACATTACAGACTGCATTGGGAATTAACTGAAAATTCCTCCACAAAGTTCAGGATATCAATTAATACAATTTTCTTTATTTTGATTGTTGTACCCATCTCACAGCTTTCCACATTAATGAGGTTATGAACATACTACCATGCCATGAAATTATAGTTCAAATATTTGAGTAATTAAGGCTAATTACTAAAAATCTTTTTTTCTTAAAGTTCCCTTTCTGTTTGATAACAAATTAGCCCTGCAAGAGAATAGCTGTTTTTAATATCACCAAAAAAAAAAATTCAGTCTAATTTAAATATTTTGGAAGGTACCACTTGTTTAATTGGTTAACTGAGTATTTCTTTGATCTTTTTTTCTGATGATATTTCCCATCAGTGTTAAGCAATTGTTTCCCACAGTGTTTTTAAAAGATAAACTGACAATTTTGAATTATTTCAGCAATAGCACTGTAACCTCACATTAGTATAAATGATAAGTAATTTTACTTGTTATATTTGGAAATACAGTTAAAAATATGAAATTTTTAATTTGACAAATAATGATATGAAATATGAAATTTTTAAAATATGAAAAGGTGTCTTAAAACCCATCCCAAATTCAGTGGGACTGAGATTTTGGTTTCACTGATGAGCTTTGTGATGATAAACCATTCTGATGGGTGTTTTTCCAATCTACCTCTACTTCAAAGCCATAAATGTTTGACTGCAAGTGTCTGCCCAGGCTGAAATGCTGAACCATGCCTTTCTCTGGTCCCTGAGCAGCACTGAAAACAAAAGTGAAAAATAAAAATTACCCTTTTGCTGGGTGGGATTGTGCTATGTTAAGGGGAAAAAAGATTCCCTCCAGCAGCTGTATGTCATTAAAAATTAAATATAAAAAAAGTTTATTTTCTGATGTGTGTTTTTAGCCTAGAGCAGATAGAATACATCAAAGGGGAGAAAATCCTCTCAATCCCTCAAGTGTCTGAGAAAAACATAACATTTTAATAAGTGGCCCAAAACTAGTGAACATTTAAATAGTTTCTTGTAACTTTTAATGGCCCTTGGAGTATTACCAGCCAAAAAATTCCATCATGATTTCCACAGACTCGTTCTTGAACTTTGTTAAGACACTTAATTGCTCTCTCGACCTTGTCACATCTTTGAAACATTAATTGTGGTACTTGCATGTGGCATTCAGTAGGAGTAAATATCTTTTGGGCTGTCCAAGTGCTTATGCTACAAACCATCAACAATTTGCTGTTCCTTTTCTCTCCAGCTCTCTATTGATTTCAATTTCCCTGGCAAAGGTTTCCTGCTCCTCTTGAGGGAAAATCCTGAATGATTCAGGCGAGCACTCCTGAGGGACTTGGTTAATCCACTTAATGAAACACAAATTGTTGTGTTTCTGCAACAAATCAGCTGCTGGGATGAACAAGAGCTGTTCTTTGAGAACAGGGTTTGAGATCCACTGCTGAGGAGAGACTTAGCTGACCTTGGGCAGGTCTAACACTGACCCATGGAGATAAAAATGCTCTCCAAACCTTTCCAATCCTGAACAAACCCCTGCTGGAAAACTATTTTGGAGCACACTTCCCCAAGGAATGTGTATTATTTGTTAATTACACATAGGTACTGCCGTACTAATAAATTGTGTACATTATAAGATATATATATAAAAGGGGGGGGGTGGAGATGATACATTCTGTCTCCAGCGGCCCCATCCAGCACCATGCCAGAATGATCCATTTCCACCTGGTCTCAAGCCCAAAGAACCCAACTGATCCAATCTTCAAATTCACAATGGGACTTCTGCTCTAGAAGTCATTTAGGCATTTTAAAAATTTGCATGAAGCTCAAATGCCTTTGCAATCAGTCATGTATGGAATCACAGAAACAAAACCTAAAGGATTTCCTACCTAAATGTGGATTAATATTGGAGCAGTCAACAGCTGAAAGGTATGTGATCAGCTGGATCTTAGCCTGAACTTAGCTGCTCCAAGAATTGCTAAAAGGGGCTCTCCAGACTTTCCAGGGCCTTAGAAAAATATTCCAGCTCTTTCTTCATCAGGAAACAGCAACCTGCTGACAGGGTTTCTACCTGAGCATGGCCAAAAATGATGTTATTCCTGCCCAGAAACTGCCTGATTTCACCAGCCATGAACTGTGAGCCTCCAAGTAAACTGAATAAGATGTCAAGTCCTCAAAAGAAAGAAGGAAACTGCAAACCAAACCATCTTTAATGGCAGCATTCCATCTGCAGACAGTGTGGGGAGAGAATGGAGTTTGTATGGTGCACTTCCTACAGGGCAGGCTCTAAAAATACAGGAATCTAAAGGGAGCCAATGCAAATCACACAGATTAGCCTGTAGGAAAAATGGAATTGGCTGAAAATCCCAATCTCCACTGGGCAGCTCCCAGTTCCACCATCACAATAACTGCTGCTGTGACAGGAATAGGTTTTTTTCTCTTGGAATACCCTTTAGGATAATTCTGGGAGAAGAGATGCGCTGGAGTGACTGGATTCACTCTGAATGAGATTGCTCTTGCTTCCCTCATAAAGCAGTGCAGGCAAAGACAAAAAAAAAAAATCTACGTCTCCTCTTGTTTATATCTTGTTTCCCAGCAATATTTTCTTTCTGCCCTCCAAATGCACATTTTCCCTCCCAGCTCGAGTCTCATTCCAATTAAAAGTCACAAGGCAAATAGGAGATTGCCAGGCATCTTGTTGCTATTTCTATTATTCCTGCCAAGGAGTTTCCTATTATTTTCCATGTCAAGGCTGAGGTAGAACACAAACACAAGAGCGCAAGAAAACTTCCTTGTGTGGTGCAGTTAAAGATGACAACTCAGGTGGGTTTGTAACAGTGAAATCAAAGCAGATAATGTGCTTCAACACCTTTATCATTGATTTCCAGCCCCCCACAAGCAGTTTGCACCCACCTTTCACCAAAGTGTGTTTGTCCGTGGGGGAAGAGCGAGCAAGCACCCGGAGCTTTGGCCAGATTTTGTCAATCCGCTCCTGCTCGATCTGCAGGGGGGGAACAGAAAAAAAGAACCCAAACAGTAAAACCTGTGATGAGCAGAGTTTATGTTATTGTGTCAGAAAATTCCCCTCATCGCTCAAACCTGCAGCTTTTCTCCAAAGCACAGAAAAATTCCAGCAGCCATCCATGCTGCAAGTGAAGAGAAGGCCAGTACTAACAGGGCTCAGCTGCTGGCCAACACAGGTAAATTTTTCCACAATATTTAACCAGCCTTTCTTATCATCTTTATAGATAATTCCACTCAGAATTATCACTCTAGATACAGGATACAGGAGTTTCTCAAAGCTGATCAAACCTGTTCACAAGTTTGTTGTTCTACTCTGCAGGAGAACCCAAATCCTTCATTTAGCACCAATAATGGTAAGATTTTCTTGTGTAGCAACAGGAACAAAGCCAAGCTTGTTGCATTTACTACCATTCCCAGGATTCCACCCATCCATGCAGGGAGCCCATGACTGTGTCCACTCATTTAAGGTGGACTCAAGAGCCAGCATAGATTTTTCTTTTTTAGAACTATGTCTGAGCTCCATCTTTGATGAGGAGTTAAAAACCTTCCAAAGGATAGATCTTTTTATGCAAATCGTTGCTGTGAGTACATTACAGAAAGTGGAATGAATTAAAGAAACGAGAGGAGCTGGTTCTCAGTAGAGATTTCATTTTAGGAGCAAAATTGCTGTTGAATTCCTTCTCCTCCTTGCCATAAACCTTCAAGATTCTTTCTCCTCCTTGCCTTAAACTCCTGCCTTAATGAGCTTTGTTTTGATTTCTTGTGGAGTAGTGCAGTGGTTTTAAAAACTGCAGAAGTAGGCCTGTACTAAACTCATACTGGAAGAGCAAAGACTGGACTTTCACCACTGTTTTGAATTACAAATATTTAGTGGGAGAAAAAAGTAGGACCTTTTCAGAGCAGTCTTTACTGTTATGAGGCGCATATCAGTGCAGGAGAATATTTTGGTGTTTTCACTGGGTTTTGTTTACCTCTCCCTTCTCATTTCGGATCCTCCTGTTGAACTCCTTGCCCTCGAGGCAGAGGAAGTCCTCTCCGGGGTGGATGATGCCACATTTGATGGCGATGGCACGCGCAGTGTTGATGTTGTCCCCGGTGACCATGCGCACGGTGATCCCGGCTCGCTGGCACTTCCGGATGGCTTCTGGCACCTGCAGAGACCCCTCAGGGTTTTAGCTTTTGTAGTTTTCTAATCCTCTACTCTAACTCTAAACTCCACATAGAGTGCTAGTTAAGTGTCTTCACATTTTGGTCAGATAAAATTATTGGTCAGATACAGGTGCTGCCATGCTAATAAATTGTGCACATTATAAGATATACAGCAATTCCTCTCTGGGCCTGGAACTCAAGGACACCTCACTGCCTCAGGCCCCAAAAAGTACAACCAAAAATGAGTTTTGTGGGGAGCAAACTGGGGGTGAATGACTGCATTCCCTGCAGCTCTAATTGGAGCATTAACCCCTGATGGGTGAATGCCCAAACTGATAATTGTGTGACAAACTCGTGCCCATGGCCCACCTTGGCTGCAGCCTCTGGAGGCTGTGGCTGCCCAAGCTGGGCCTGCTGAAGGCTTTCATCAACCCCCTCTTTATTCTCTGAACCTTGCCTGGCGTCTGGTATGGGGTCACCTCCAAGGTATCGCAGAAACAAAGCAAGGGCAAAGAAAACTCCTGGATCAGAGATAAAATACAAGGCAGGTATTCCCATCCAGAAAATTTAAGGAATGCCTGAAGCAGGAAGAGGAATCAGATGTGTTTTATTGTAACTTGACTGTTCTGAAGTTGGGGTTACTCCACAAGCAAGGCAAATCTTGTACCAAGTAAAAAAAAATATCTTTTTGATCAGTTCCTTCAACTTTCTCCTGGCTTGAATAAAAATGAGTGCTCTGCAGCTTTTTTGACCTTTAGCAAGCTGAACATAACTACTCAACACGTGCAAATATGAATGGACAATACAAACTTTCTGTACAGAAAATGACTTTACTTCTGATCCAAACCTTCCTTTCAACAAGATTTTAAAAGTTATTGTGGTGTAGCACTACTTAATTCATGCTCATTAACAGGTGGAATTCCTAAATACAGGAGTTCAAAATTAATATTTTACATATTTCAAAATCATTAAAGTGAAGCCTGATTTTACTAATGCCTTTTCATGCATGTGATAAACTTCTGCTTCCCAGGAAATATATCAGGGAGAGAGAAATATTCAGGGTATAACAGGGAGTGTGAGATTAATGTAGGGGCTCCATTCTGACTTGGCATCATATACATCTTATTTTATAAAAAAAAATATCAGGAATTAAGAGAAAAAATTCATTTCTAATAATTAAATAAAGCTGTTTTAATACAGTACTTCAGTAAATGAAGACTATAGAAAGGTTCCATGTTTTTAGCTCAGTTTCAGATGGGGAAAAAAATTATGTTCCCTTAAACTACATCCTAATTAATTATAATTTCTAAGTAAATATCACTAACCAATTAATTCAGTCTCATCACATTTTTGCATTATTTTGCATTATTCTTATGAAAGCATTATTTCTTCTAGAGAAAAACAGCAACATGATTTAAAGTGGGAGAATAAGGAATGTGTTTAACATGTCCAGAACAGCCTGGATGTCACTCTTCAGCACAACATCACTTCTCTAAATTTCATTTTTACCTACAAGAGTCCAGAGCACCCCAGGATTCATCATGAAGGCTGAAGCCCTTCACAGAGCTACAGTGAAGTGAACTGCCCTACTCAGAAGATGGCAATGCACAATTATTAAAAAATGTTTTTAAGCCACACAACAATTTAAGAAAAGGTATCAAAATAGATATTACTGTCTATATTCAGTGCACAACTTCCAGCACAGATATACATGTGTTGTGCAACTCAATGCTGGTTTGAGTGGATTCATCTCATCCATTAGTGCAGAAAATGCTGAGAAAAGGAAATACCATCTCAAACATTGCACTGCTAAATTTGTGCATTTCTTGATATTTTTATTTCCTCTGCAGCCACAAGTAGGGGACGCCACTGAGTGTTTGTTTTATTATATAATATATATTATATTATTATATATCTATTACAAATACTTTACACATACACCACTGAGTGTGTATGTGTAAATCATTTATGACAATCCTTGCTCTGAACCAGTGTGACAAACCTTGGGCTCTAAGGGATTTCCTGGGGCCAGGAAGGCACTGAAAACCCTAAACTCCTCCACCACACCACAGATAATGGTTCTCCCAACCTGGGAATCATTTCACACCCTGTTTGTGAATATTTATTAAAGGCATTTTGTGGAGTTTCTGTTTTTCAAAATGCCTCCCTAGACCAACACCTGAGTGAGGACTAGAGCAGCATTTTCCCAGGATTCCCAGGAAAATCCCTCCACCCACAGGACATGCTGTTTGCAGGATTCTGTCAACACGGATCACAAAAATCAAGGGCAGAATTCAGCGACAGAGCTTTATCTTCCCATTTCCTCACCTCTATTGTGGGGAATATTTTCCCCACAAATTGTACACCCTGGAAAAATCATTTCCACCTGAAGCCTTTTAGTGATGTGAAATAGGTTTCTGTAGGGGAATGAATGATCAGGTCCAGTCTGTTCCTTAAGCAAATGACCCCTGATCTCCCCTGTTCCCACATTCATAATCCTGCCTAAATCCCATTTGTCAATTGGAAATGCTTTTGGTACCCACTTGGAGCTGTGGTGACCCTCATGCACAGGACAGGACAGATTTAGATGGAAATCTGGAAAACCATCCCAATGGAAGGAGAAAAATAAATTACAGTGCAAGCAGCAAAAAAAGGATATTCCCATGAAGGGTCAGTCCCATTGAGCAAGGTCAGGGGAGGACAGCCCCACTTGCAAACACATCTCAAACTCACATCTAACAGGAGAAATCATCCTGTTTCCCTCTCCTGTCATTTTCTGGACAGCTGGTGGGTGGTATCTGATTTAATAGTGTGTACAGTAATTACAGTTAAAATATTGTTCATATTTTTTTTATTGCTGTAAGGGAGAAAGAGTGTTGGCAGACTGAGTGGGCAGAGGAAGCAGATATTTTCCATCAGTTTTGCAGAGCTTAAGTACACATTTCACAATTTTTTGGGGGTTTATTTTCCCTCTGCAAAGCAAAATTTCCAATGCAAGCACGCATGCACCAAGTATCCAACGCAGGAATATCTTTCCCAATCAGGTGGCAAATAAATAGGAGATATTTGGAAGGGATTTACGTTCATCTCCCAGAAATAACAGACTGGAGGCGTTTTCTGGCAGATCAGTGTGAGCCAGTTCAGGCTCATTAAAATCAAGCCAGAAAGAGTGTCAGGATCAACAGAGAATCTCTGCAGGAGAAGGGCATCACTCTGTTTGTTCTCTTCCTGTGTATTTATCAAAGAAAAATAAAAAACACACCCACAAAATATAAATATCAAGCAAGTAGTTCAGTGCTTGCTAAATCCAGCAGCTGCTGGTGTCTGAATTAACCTGGGAATATGGAAAAGCCACGGGTGTCCATGGTGGGCATTCCAGAGAAAACTCAATACTTGCTGGACATCAGTGATAAATAACTCATTCAAACTGGGATTTTTAGTGTATGGGGAGATGTGAGTGCCAGAAAGTTCCCTGAGTATCCCAAGAATATCCCTGGAAGCAGGAGAGAGGAAGGATTTCTCCAAAACACCTGGTGGGATCATTCCTGGATGCCGTGTCCCACAGGATCCACAGCACAACAGGGAAAAGGAGAATCCTGATTCTTCCCTAGAAAACACAGGAATGCAACTGAGGGGAAGGTAAAGGCTGCCAGGACTGGGACAATTTTATTAGAATTACCTGATTTATCACTTCCATCCAAATAAATCCTGGCACCGGTGAATACTGAGAATACTGATAAAACAGCACTTTTAGTAAGAATTCTTATTTTTGTGTTCTTTTTATCCCCCTGCAGAAAGCACTTTGAAAATGCATAAGCTCCAGTGGGGAGTCAATTTAATGAGCAGATTTCATTCTGGCAAAATATTCCCTATGACTGCTCAACATCTTGCTATTTGCATCAGCAATGGGGATTTCACACATGCACATTACAATATTCCAACCAAGTCAGATATTCCAAACTTACAGAGTTTTCTGAACTTTGTGTTTTTCTCCTGGCTCAGGGTTTATTGGTTCATTTATTTCCCCTAAAGTACTGCTTCTTATAATGTGCAGAGCAGTAATAATTTAAATATTGGTTTAAATATTTTCATGATGTTATTGCCACTCTGAAGCAGTCAAAAGAAACAAGGTGGGAAAAAACCAAAAATCCAAGTCCCAAATGTCCAAAATTTGCTAAAATCCTGAAATTGCAAATATTTTATTGTGTGACTTGCACTAAAATAGAAATGCTTCTGCATGTTCTGGTGCTAACCTACAAGAAATTCAATACAATATTCAAGCGTTTGTTTAGAAATAAGATGTTTTCCTGCCTTCATCTCTTTGATTCTTTACATAGAAGTCAGATTTGCCTTCTATTTTTAGCAGAATTATTCACTTTTACCTCCAGCTCCCAAAAAATTATTCCCTGCAAGATAAGAGCAGCTCTCTTACAAAACACCCTCCTAACAACCACATGAAAGGAGAGTTTGCAGCTATTTTCCATAATAACTGCAAATCCCACTGCTCCCCAATCCCTCAGTCTGTCACACCACACAGAACCTGACTTAAAGCTGTTTTCTAACGTGGATCATGATTTAATTTAGGAGGGGGAGAGGATTGATTCACAGTTCCAGTGGCCACTGACAAAATATTTCTGAAAATATCTATATTTTCTTCAAAATATTTTCTGTAAAATATCCGTCTATGTGAGCTGGAGCATTAAAGGAGCACTGCAGACAGAACTTCTAAAGGACATTTTCCAACATTTTGAAAGCCTTGCAATGTCAGCCGTGGGGACAGATGGATTAGCAGCAGGAGACCATCTGATGACAGATAAAGTGGATGCTGTTTATCTGCTCTTTGTGGAGATAAGGAGTTTATCATCCAGTTGTCACCTGCACAAGATTTACTTTTTATTTTAACCTTCATATTGAGGAGAAAAACCCAATAAAATCCATTCTGAGGCAAGGCACAGTCGTGCAGTTGGTGCCAGTGCCAAAGTTCTATCACCATTTTAAAACCCTGACATGGAATTAATAATTCTCCATTATTATCAAGCAGCAAAGGGATCAGAATTCTCTAACTCAATCCTTTGTATTTCTGTAGGAATGTAATTTACTAGTGTAGAAGTAGGGGTGTGCTTCCCATGTGCACACCTACTACTGATTTACTCAGGTGAGCTGAGTAAATTTTATATATTTGTACAAGCCATGTAAATGTGATATCCATGACAACTGCAGCCTTTCCTTCTTCAAATACAACATTAAAAACAAGTTTTACTGAGTAGTCACCAGGTACAATCTTAAGTAAAGTGACAACTATTACAATAAATGGCAAAAACTCCAGTTTCTCTGGAAACTGTCATTATAACATGGCAATTTTAATCACTGCACTTGTCTTCCCTTCTTTCAGAGTTGTACATCACTACACTGCTTGAAGGAAAATTTTTTAACATGTGGGAGCATTACAAAACCTCTGCTGATCATTTCAGTCTGGCACTGCAGAAAGCCCTGTATTCCTTTATTTAAATAGAGTTGAATTTTATCACCTTAATTATTTGGCTTTTTATCAAGTAAAACCCATTTCTAAAGCTGATTTTCAGCTTCTTTGAAAGAGCTAATTTAAAAAAGAGACAAAACCTGTAAGAAACCATTCAGGTTATGTCAAGTTTTATACAAGATAAAAATTGGACGTACCTCTGGCCTTACTGGGTCTTCAATGCCAACGACACAGATGCAAGTCAGGTCGGATAAGATGTCGTTCTCGTTGTCCCAGTCAGGCTCAGGGCTGCTGGGGAAGTCTCTGAAGGCCACACAGATGGTTCTCAGCCCATCACAGGCCATGGGCTCGATCACCTTCTTCACCATCTCGTCCCTGTCGCGGGGCCTGAAGATGCGCGGTTCCCCGGCCGCGTTGAGGATCCTGGAACACCTGGTTTGGGCAGGGGAAAGAGAATAAAACCTGAGTGTGATGCCTTGGGATTTTAGCTTTTCTATTTTTCATCTATTTGTACTCCTGCATTTCTTTAGTGTGTAACTCCAAACCCCACAGCCAGTGTCAGCTGCAGCTTTCCCATTTTGGGCACACACAGCAATTCCTCTCCAGGCCTGGCAATCAAGGACACCTCACTGCCTCAGGGCCAGAGATGGGAACAAAAGGGACTTGGGGGGAGCAAACTGGGGCTCAATGACTTCATCACCTGCAGCTGGAATTGGCAGATTAACCCCCAAAATGCAAATGGACCAAACTTATAAAAGTATAAAAACCCCTGACCCATGGTCCGTTTTTGGGTGTAGCCCCTGGGGGGCTTCATCTGCCCTAAATGTACCTGAAGGCCCTTCAATAAATATTCTTTTATTTATCTTTTAAGGGAATAAATATGCTTTTATTCCCTTAATTCTGTCTGGCCTCTGTTTTTAGGTAGCTCCAGAAAGGCATCAAGTGTGCATGACTTTGCATGACTTTATGCATGACTGCCAAAGTATTTCCTGTATAAGCTCATTTCAGTCAATACTTTCCTCTTCTGATGTCAGGTTTTAAGTTTCTAATGTAAATTTCTAGAAGATTCACTACTGAAATATCAGAGAGAATTTGTAACTTACTGCACAGACACCAAGAGACCTTCATGCATTATTTTCTCAATAATCAATGAGCTGGCAGCTTAGTGTGAAATTGAAAAGTGCTTATTTTCCAAATGGGTTGAACGTAAGGAATCCATTTATAAATTACCAAATGCAGACCCAGTTCTTTGGTAAGAAAAACACACCAATTTCCCAGAAACACTTAAAAAAATTAAAAAAACAATAGCAGTGCCTCATGCTGCTAAGGTGTGCCACATTTCTGGTGCAGGCAGCAAACTCCAAACACCAGAAATTCCACATTTTAGTGTCAGGATGTTTTAAATTTTGGAAAAAAGGAGGCCAGGGATGCAGTGCACTCACTTCTTGAGAACAATCTCGGAGGCTCCCTTGCTGTACATGCGGAAGCTGCCGTCGGGCATTTTGATGACCGTGCTCATGGACTTCCTCACGGAGTTGAAGGTGTAAACCTTGTAGAGCTTCTCCTCGGGGATGAGGCTGCGCACGGGCTCATAATCCTGCTTCAGATCCAGCACAAAGCCCAGCAGCCCACACTCCGTCTTGTTGCCCACCTGGCGAGGCAGCCCGCCCTCTTTTTCTGGTGGCTGGAGAGAGGAGAAATAAAATTGGAGATTAATTTCTCTCATTTCCCTCACAATTCTTCAGTTTAATATCTGAGCTGTGCAGCCATGAGTCTTCCAGTCTTTAAAATCAAGGTGAAAATTCCACGGAGCTCCAACAGACCTGAAGCATCTCCTCACAAGGAGAAACCTTTCTCTAGACAATATTTGCCACATTTGGTCTCTTGCACGTCTTTTTTCTTAAATTAGCCATTGGTAGCTTGTGATGGTTGGGCAATCCATTAAAAAGGAAGTAATTTGCCTTAGGTTGAAAACCAAGTAATTCTCACTTGTCACAAACAGAGGATTTCCTTTTCTCTCTTGCTTAGAATTTGCTGATTTTCACAGCTTTAAAAGGGAGTTAAAGAAAGCTCTTTTTCTTTTTTTTTTCCTGCCAGGCATTTTTATATAAAAATAAATCTCCATCCAAACATAACAACAAATCTCAGTGAAAAAAAAAAATCTATGAAATAATAGTCCCATATCTAAATGTACTTGTTTCTAGAATTACTTTAGTCTGCTGCTTCAGACAAATAAATTCTATGTATGTTCCAGAAAATGGAGTAGGCTGAACACTGTGCAACTTCCACCAATTCTCAGTCCTTCTGAAGGAGAGAAGGAAGGACAAAGAAGACTTTAAATCCCCTTTCAAAACAGAAATAAACAGTTAATTTACAAACTTTCTTGGGAGTGTTGTACACCCCAAACAAAATATTCCTGTGCCAGGACTCCAGACTTCGTGTGGCCAATGTGTGAACTATAAACTAATGATTACTTACAGTTTCTTATGCTCAGTAGAATTTAAAAGTGTTCCTTAAGCCAGGGCTAAACTGCCCTTATGGGAATAAAAACAGGAAATCATCTCACAGCTTTAATTTGCACTGAAAACAGATTTTGATTTGGCTCAAGCCAAGACTCTAAGTCATCATTTTCAGTGTGAGTTAAACATTTACCTCACATTTTGCAGAGTTAGGACTGCAGGACTGTATTCAGAATCCGTGTTTAATTTCACTTTAAAATCCAGTTTACTTCAGCAATGGGATTCCTAATAGATGGAACTTCCTACATTGCCCATCACTGGGATGAGGGCACACAAAAGGAATTATTAAAGCTGCAAATCAGCCACCCTACTGGATGTGAATTCATGCAACAAGTGTGGCCACCAAAAGGGAGCCTTTTAAATGAGAATTAATAATTAATTATCCCAGAAAACCACCAATTGCAGCTAGTTTAAAAACAATGGAGGTCAGATAGATCACAGACTGGCTAAAACTGCAGTAAACAAATATTAATTTTTCCAAAAGAATAATTTCCCTACCACCAGGAAGACTGAGACCTGTTGATAGGTAGATTAATGTCATTTTTTTTCAGAGAGAAGCAGCTACAAAGAACAACACAGAATAACCCAAAACTCTCTGTCTGGAAGAGATTTATCCTTCCAGAAAGGATTGTAACATCTTTCTTTTATGTGAACCATCATTTTTACTGACTAATATGGGTCAGTCTGGTGCTGCTGTGACATTTTAACATCACTCCAGGGTCACTGTAAAACACTGACATTCAGCAAAAATGCCAGTGAGATACATTAATTTTATTACCTGCTATAACAACTTGTCCTGCTGTAACCTCATTATACTGTGATGTAACTTCCCTCTGGATTCTCAAATTCATTTAAGAATCCCTAATTCAAAATGGAAGTGCTGGTAGTGAGGTGTATCTGGAATTCAGTGGAGTCAAAAAATACCTTTTAAAATCCAGTTTTGTTTACTTAAATAAGTTTTGTGTTCCTGGCCTTGCAGGCACAGAGTTCCTGAAATCTGCCAGGAAGTTCAGGTTTCTCAAAGCAACAGAGGAACCAAATTCAGTGCCTGGGTAGTGATGGGTACCAGGGAAGATCCATTCCTCTGGGCACATTAAATCCAACTCCTCTCATTTTAGATCTAAATCCTCATTTATGCTTCTCTTTGCCACTGAACTCAATGAAAATTGTCATTGAACTAAATGTGAATGTGGTCAGGCCACTGAAACCCAAAGAAAAACAAAGTTTTCCATCAAAGCCAGACAATACTAGACAAGAATTAATTTATAGATATGATTTTATCATGCCCTGATGCCAACGGAAATCAAGAAAATAAAAACCTGCTCACATTTCTCAAAACAAAAAATTAACAGAGTCCTTCCAAAATCACCTTTATTTTAACAAAAACTAGATCACACTCCCCTGTTCTTACCACAGCCTAAAAATAGATTCCTTTCAGGGAACATCTTTTGAATGCAAATACGTAAGCAAGGGGGAGAAAAAAAAAAAATACCCATGAAAAGAAAAGGAACAGACACTTCAGAAGGGTTTCAAAATCTAACAAGTGGCCACCTCCCTGCAGAGCAGCTGCTGTCTCCATATTCTTTGTGCATTACATTAGGGGCAAGCATATGGTGCTGAGAGCTGGCACGGAGCACTTCCTTCCCTGCACTGTTCCAGCTCAAAATCTATATGCCAGGAGCAGCCTCCTTGCAGATTGTTCTTGACAATCCCTTTGCAGAAGCTGCTGCCTCTGAAACTTCCTGCTGGGCTGGAGCTAAATTTATTTCTCGCTGAATTCTGCGGTTCATGGCACCTGGAAAACAAGGACAGCCCNTGCAGAAAACTTATCAATACTCTGGGGATTGTCTGTTTTTCTATTAAATAGAACCAGATGGGAAAATAAATTTCTAGAAAGACCAAACCAAAGCAAAGATTCATCTTAATCCTTGCTGCCTTTCTGGTGGCACCACAGCTACAAACAATTAGTACAGTGGAAGGAGCGAAATTTAGTGAGTGCAAAGCAAATGTAGCCACATGGAAAAGGAAGTTTTTTCACTTGATTGAAGCTCCTGATTATAGCCCATCATAATTACAGATCTCTGTTAATAGGACTCATTTCCAGAGTAAGGAGAAGGGTTCTTCAAGCACCCATCTCCAAAGGAGTCCAAAACCACCAAGAGTTGATACAAAATGTGCTCCTCTTTAGCAGCACGTATCAGCTGCCACTATTTTTAAATTGGTTTGGGTCCGTTCCATTTGGGGTTTGGGAGGCAAATGGATGAGCTCAAGTGGAGATAATCTGTCAGAGCCATGCTTGGCTAATATATTTTCTCAGAGGGATTTTTTTTTTTTGCATGATTGGTGGGCTAATGTTTGGGATGCATTGTAAATTCAGTCCTCTGGCCAGGCCCTCTCCTTGTCAGGACACCAGGAGTGATGCCTTGGCTGGGCAGAGCAGCAGACGGAGGCTGCAGCCAATTTGTGCCTGATTATTCATTCAGGAGGAAACGGGACAGCAGTGATGGAGAGCTGGAACATCCTGTCCTTCTTTCAGAGAAAAAATTCTCCCAGAAAAAAAATCTCATTTCTCACCTCTTCCAAATGCACAGCCCCTATCACACCAGCACTGAGCACTGCCAGCCTTTGGAGTGAGGGGAAATGGAATAAATGGAAATGACAGAAAAATAAAAATGGCATAAAAAAAAATCTGCAGTGGAGCTGTTTAGCATGCTCAAGGCTTTCCTTGGTGCTATGGCCAATGAGCCACATCCTCTGCCCAACTCTCATCCAGAACTTCCCAAGGAAAAGGGGTCCCAATGTCCCCACAAGGACTCACCAGGAGCCAGGCACACTCTGCTGCTCTGTGTGTTTGCACCTGCACAGGTAAGGCAGGCTCACAGGTTTATTCCATTTACNCCAGGCCTGGCAATCAAGGACACCTCACTGCCTCAGGGCCAGAGATGGGAACAAAAGGGACTTGGGGGGAGCAAACTGGGGCTCAATGACTTCATTACCTGCAGCTGGAATTGGCAGATTAACCCCCATTTTGCAATTGGCCCAACTTTTTAAAGTCCTAAAACCTTTTGGGCCTTTTTCCTTTTTGGTTGTAGCCCCTGGGGGGCTTCATCTGCTCAAAATGTACCTGAAGGTCCCAGAACTGCTTTTTATTCCCTTAATTCTGTCTGGCCTCTGATTTAGGTAGCCCTGACACAGCATCACTCTAAGATTCCTCAATTTCATATTGATTTTAGCAGAATCAACCACTGCCATCATTATTTACACTGCTGCATTCCTGGCAGTGCTGCTCCCCTGTTTATTAACAGGTGCAGCTGATTTCACAACAAATATCTCAAAAGCCTGACAAATATTCATCATTTGAGTTTAATTAGAGCCAAAGTAATGGCCTAGCAGGAAATTCAGGGATGACATGGCAAAACCCCAAGCAGAACCCCCAATATGCAAAATGGACCAAACTTATAAAAGTATAAAAACCCGTGAAACATGGTCCATTTTTGGGTGAAGCCCCTGAGGGTTTCATCTGCCCTAAATGTACCTGCAGGCCCTTCAATAAACAGAACTGATTTTTATTCCCTTAATTCTGTCTGGCCTCTGGTTTTAGGTAGCCCACAAAGGCACCATAACCCTTGGAAGCGGGAAGAGGGAAAGGCTCTGAGCTGAGATTTACCACAGGGAGCTCCAGCACGGACCTTCTGCTCCCCACAGGTCACCTGCAATCTGTTCCATCACCTGCTTGCGAGGGACTGAGCCAGGATCCTCCCCCAGTCATTGTCCGGTTTTCGGCTGTTTGGAGGGCCTGGAAGGGCCTGGAGTGGCCTTGGGGCAGCCGCGTATCAAAGGGCGAGAAGAGGCTTCAGTTCTTCTTTCGGTCTTTATGTTTATTAATTGTTTATCTAAAAGATTTTCTTTCAGCCCGACAGAGCTCTGCTCAGCAGCCAGCCATGAGCACACTGTCACTCCCTCCGGGCAGCCACCTATCTTTATACCCA